ATAAAATTCACCGGTCCTTTGAGGAGAGCAGGGGACTGTTAAGCCCTCAAGTCATAACACAAGTTTAAATACAGAGGCTATTTAATTGAGGTGGTCTGTTTCCTGGTATATACAAGGGGTCTGGATGCTTGCAGTATTCACAGCTGTGCAGGGGGGAAACTCACCTTGTGGCATAGAAATCTTCACTTGAGGAGGACTTCTTGTGACCTTGAGCTGATGAACTAAGCCAATGAGAGCTGGACTTCGTCTGATCAAATTAGATTCTGGTTTAAACTCACCCTTGTAGATGTCCTTTGCCCCTCCCTCACAGGCAGTTCTGTCTGAGGCAGTGCATTTCAGGTGGAGGGGTCTCGTCTCCTGGCTCTGGTGGCACTGTGTTGCTAAGGTTTCAGATTTAGAACCAGATTTCAGGTCTCCTCCTTAAACTAGAAAATCATTCCAGTAGATCCAGTTTCTCTGAGCTCATTCACTAGGATGATCTCTACTTGCATTTCATAAAATATTTAGAGACCTATTGAATTCCAGTGCTGTTTGCTGTTAGTAATGCTACTGAGTTTGACTTAGTAATAAACTTACATTCCCAAATACCCTGCATGGACTCTTCTTGAATATGGGTTGAAAGCTTGGACTCTTAACAGAACTTTTCTCTACAGTTTTATTTACAAGAAAGTTATTTAGCCCCAAAGAGTCAGGTTGTGAACAATTTTATACTTTGGCCCTAACTCTATTTATAATATAGTCAGTCTTTTCCCCATAGAGTAAAACTCATGCTACCTTCTTAGTGTTTATTGAACTGCAAATCCATTCCTTGCCATTAACTGAAAATATTTTTCTTTATTTTTATTTTTTCAGACAGAGTCTCACTCTGCACCGTGGGTAGAGTGCTATGGCATGATGGCTCACAGCCCCTTCAAGCTCTTGTGCTCAGGCAATCCTCTTGCCTTAGCCTCCTGAGTAGCTAGGAAGATTTACCGGCACCTGCCACTATGCCTGGCTAGTTTTTTCTATTTTTAGTAGACATGGGGTCTCACTCTTATTCAAGCTGGTCTTGAACTTCTGAGATCAAGCAGTCTACCTGCTTTGGCCTCTCAGAGTGCTAGGATTACAGGTGTGATCCACCATTTCAGGACTGTCTTTGATTTAAAATAAAACAACCCTGAGGGTTTTTTAAAAAGCAGACTAAAGCCTTCTTTTATTACACACCCCTTTCAAAAAAAAAAAGACCCACAGTCCTAAAGTGGCTTTCGTGCAGCCTCTTATGACTGCAGTAAATTGTCCACATAATGGTATACTACTCTGTGTGTGTGTGTAGCAGCAATAGTAGTTTTTTTGGTGTAGATTAAAAAAAAACATCACTGTAGTTTTCATGGTGTGGGGACTGGTTGCATAGCCTTAGAATTTAGGCCATTTGGAAAAGAGAGCCATTATGAAATTACCAGCTTAAGGCTGCTTTCTGAAGGATCCTACTCTGTTCATGTGGATGATCCTGCATGGCCAGTGGGGTTCAGATCCCAGAGGCCTGTCTGAGAACTTACACATGGGTGGTGCTGCTAAACCCTCCCTACTCCATCCCCGTACACTCAGGACTATCACTAAACATGCATGTGCACACACACAGACGTGCAATGTCAGGGCTTCTTGGGGATCAGGAGTCACTCTCTCCAACTGAAACTCATCTTTCCCCAGTCACTGGAACTGGGAAGTGAAATCTGGTGGTGTTGAGGGCAGCGTGAGTTGAACTCGCAAAACTAATGGCCCTGTGTACCTAATGTGCAGGTGCAACTTTGGGGCTGCTTTTTCAGATGGGACATTTGTTTGGCAAGTTTGTGGCATTGCTGGGCTCATTGTCCTCTCTTTTCTTACAGTTTTATGTGCTGAAAGAGTTGGCCAGATGACTAAGACATATAATGACATAGATGCTGTTACTCGCCTTCTTGAGGAGGTAAGTGTTTCAGAGAAAGGCGAAGAGTGGTTTATAATTGATTTTAATTTATTTCAATCAAGGCATGCCTTATTGTCTGTTTCAGTGAGGAATCTCAGAAGTTGGGCCCTCTCAGGGTATACTTTAATGGCTTTGTTTTTTTGGATTAGTCGCTGTGTAGGGCTTTATAGCTGTAATTTTGTGCAGGTATTTCCGGTTTTTAAAGGAATGACACAAAAACCGGTACTGGTTAAATACTTTCTAGAATACAGGGAACATGGGAAATTGTAGCTAAATGTACCTTTATTGATAAAATATTCATTACAAAATTTTTCAAAATATTTAAAGAATATTCCCTACGTGTTGGCCACTTCTTTGCAAACTTTGTAATGAATATTTTCCAAATAAACATTCATTTAGCTATAATTTCCCAGGTTCCTCTATGCGTGATAACTTTTGGGCCACCCTATATTTTAAATGTGTCTAAAAATATCAGGAGAGTATATCATCCATGTCTTCTTCTTAACATATTTTAAGTTTTTACTTACATCAGGTTATTGGAATATTATGCAAGATCAGCAAGGAAATAAGCAAAATAAGCAAAGCAAGAAAAACTTAGGAAAATTGCTTAGGATTAGATAAGCTGCTTATGTTTTAGAGACTGTGGTTTTCTCAGCTTATCAACATTCTATTTGGAGTTGAGAATTAGGTGATTTGAAGGTCTGTAAGAAACATGAGTGTGTCATGAGATGCTCAAGATTACTCAGCAGCTTTCCAACCCAGCCCCTTAAGCACGGAACCCTGTTGCATCTGGCTGTTGTGTTTGCTACTATCAATCTTTGTTACTATGGGCAGTAGCTTTTCTGTGGGACTTTGTGACCTTGAAAACATGAACTGGGTAATTTTTCTGCGGGAAGCTGCCTCTGTGAATGTGCACTGCCTGTAGTTCAGAGCTGCAGCTGTGTCCGAGAACGGCATGTGTAAGGACTACTTTCCAAAGGAGCCGGGGACTTCAGCCCTTGGTGCAGATATAGGGTATTAAGAAATAACACCCCTCCACTCCTGGTTAGTTTACTAAATAAAGAGCACGGTCTCATCTTTTAAAAATAGTTGTGTTGCTAGAAAAGAATACCAATGGGTTGGTTTCTTCATGTGCTTCTTTATTGTGTCGTGTTTTATTTTTAAAGGGTCATCATGGTAATGGTGTGTTTATATCTCTGTGTCTCTGTTTATAGCGCGCCATTCTGTTCCTTGTCTGATAAGATTCATGCCTGAGTTACTGCCTTTCTATGGAACTAGGCAGGTTTCCTGGTTGAAATCTAATCACCCCAGTCACGTGACAGCCACACTGGCCGGGGCTCTAAATCGGCTCTAGCTGTCTCCCCTGTTCCTTCACTTTGGTTAGCATGCCTGCTGCTCACGGGCAGGTGAGGTGCTGGGGATTCGAGTGTCCAAAGCCCAGCCCTTGGCCAGCGTGGAGAGCTGCTTCTGGTTTTAAGTGCTGTGCCTGCCCTGCATTGCTGCTGTTCGGAATACACCTTTGGACAAAACTTGCCACCTCCCCAGATGGAGAGGGTTATTCCATTGACTCTCCCCTTAGTCATGCATTTTATCCTGAAATCGGTGAATGAGATGAGTCAGCTGCTAAGAATAGGAGGCAGGCTGTTGGGAATCTCTAGTGGATGTGTCCACGCCAGTGTTTGCTGGTACAGTTTTTTTAAGCAAAGCCCAGCCAGCAGAGGTGAGCTCCACCTCACCTCAGTTCCTGGGGAATAAAAGAACTAGTTCTCTTCCTGGCTTATTTCCAAGGGCCTAAATTATTTCTTTATGGTCTCATATTCTCATTGTAGTTAATCTAATAGTCCTCATATTCTCATTGTAGTTAATCCAATGGCCATAATCTAGCTGTTTTCTTGCTTTTAGAAGTAAATATTTATCTCATGTTGGCTGGTTATAAGAAATGGGAGGTTTTTTCATTCTTACATTTCCCAAAGGGAAACCCAAAACAGCCTTAATAAAATTAGAAAAACCCCAGAGACACAATAACTTTTTTGTTTATTTTTGATTTGATCTATAAATATTCTTACTATAGTTTCTTCTTCTTCTTTTTTTTTTCCTGGCACCAAATGCTCTTTATAATTACTCTAAAGATTAGATTTACAGTGTAGACCAGGGGAGAGCTGGTGCTCAGAGGGGCAGGGAGAGGGGGAGAGGCCCTTGGCTGGCTTAGGTGTGCTAGGTAGCGTACCAGGGCTCACAGTTGAGCTCACTGCCCCACTTGTTTCTCCTCCCTGCCTGTTTCCCAGTCCTCTGGGGTTCTGAGCCTTCCTGTGCTGGAAGCCTTCCACATCCTTCAGGCACTGTGGCAGTGCCTTGCCTGACCTGCCTTCACTATTCTGCTTTGTGCTTGATTTGTTGAGGCATACAAAATATTTGTGCTTGTGGGAACTTAGCTTGGAAGCATGAAGGCAGTGCAGAACAGCAGGTAGTCAGGGTCAGCTAAAAAAATTCAGGAGGTACTTCTGAGGTTTATCATATAGGGGTACAGGTGAATCTTTCTAAGAGTAGAATGTGAACGTTTTAAAGCAATAACTGAGAAAATGACATGAAGGCTGTGTTGACCAGTTTGATGGAAGTATTTCAGATTGCATGTGAAAACCCCACACTGTACCCCAGAAGTGCATTAATGTACATAGTTACCATTCAATAAAAAAAAAAAAAAATAAATAAATAAAAAAAAAAAAAAAAAGAAAAAAAATTCAGGAGGTTTATACTTTGGGAAAAGGAGAGCTTTATTTCTCATAAAGGGTAACAGCCGATTGGGTGGTCACTCCAACTGGTTTGGAAACAGAGCCCCAGCCAGAAGCCAAGCACTCAGACTTCAAAGGATAGACAAGAGGAACAAGATTTTATACTGAGTGGGGTAGTCAAATGTACATACTCCACAAGGAGTTGTGAATGTTTGTGAAGGGATATCACGCCCATTTGTAATTGTGCTTTATCTCTCCCATCCCATCATGGCTGGGACCTCAATTTTAAGGTGTTTCTGGGATCCCCTGGGTCCCCTTGGCTGAGAGGGGTCCTTTCATTTAGCAGAGGGCTTAGGACAGGGGTCCTCAAACATTTTAAACAGGGGACCAGTTAACTATCCCTCAGACCATTGGAGGGCCAGACTGCAGGCCCCAGGACAAGTCAGCTGCTAAGCAGGACAGGTAACAGCGGCAAAAACACCCAGCGGGCCAGATAAACGTCCTAGGCGGGCTGCATGTGGCCTGTGGGCTGTAGTTTGAGGATGATTGGCTTAGGATTGATTTTTATTATAGTTCACATATGTGAGCTATATGTGTGTTATACTCACAGTGAGCTGATGAGTGTTAATGAAGCACCTGCTGGGTATTTAGTCCGAGAACTTGTTCTAGTAGAGAAATTTAGCAGGCTTGAATGAGATTTATGGTATTGCAGTTTTATCTGATCATGAGCCATTGGAACTGCTTGGTGCTGATTTTGAGTTGGCCCCTGGAGACTCACTCCAGGCCCTCCCTCACAGTTCTTCGGATGCTTTCCTCTAGATGCCATATCAACACAACTGTTGAGTCTGGGAAGTAACGGAGGGCCGTGAGTAAAACATGTCTTGGTGACCTGTTGGCCAGTGTGGATAAATGCACACAGATGAGCTTGGTTGATGGGACAGGGTCACCATGTCCCCACTGCTCTGTTGAGAGCACCTGTCTCCCCTACCGTGTTTCTTGGAGGGAGGAAGAGGGGTGACAGGGAGGCATATACTGTGGGAGTGAGTTGGGAGTGTTTACGGCTCACTTGGTGTGATACCTGGCTGGCTTCTGGGATGGAAGACAACTGTCTCTCCAGGGGATAATAATATTTACAGTCCTGCAGGAGGGAGCTAAATTGTTTTCAAATCCAGAGTCTTCTCAAAGTGTACTTGGACCTCAAGTGTTGTGCTCATAATTCAGTGAATTGCCTATAGTTAGCCAAGGGAGGTCTGCTGCTACTGCATGGGGAGATTGGGCAGATAGATAAGGAGTTAGAAATAAAAGCTGCTTATTCTTTTTATCATACAACTTAGTGGATAATAAAGCTATAAGATTTTCTCAAGGATATCTCAACTAGCCTGTCCCCCTCACCCTACCTCCATTTAACAGATGAGGGAACTGGGCCCCAGAGATGTTCAAACAGAACCTAAACTCTCCCAGTTTAGAATAGGATGGTTCACCCAGCACAGTTAAACTTGCCCTCAAGTAAGAAACATACCTTAGGTTGTGGCCCAGTGCTCACATAGGTCAATAGAAGACAATCAGAAGTTTAAACATAGAATGATGTCCTCACTATGTGGGACATGGCTTTGATGTTTTCAGTTCTGTGCTGTCATATGTAATTAAAACAAAATGCCAGTTGCCATTAATAAAATGGTTTCTCACCCCCCACCCCCAGTGGCTGGAAGAAACTAATTCTGTACCGTACCAAATCCTTGTGAAGCCGGAGACATTCACCGAGGGCCACATGGGGAGTTTATAGCCCCTGTCAGATCAGAAGGGAGGCTTCCTCCCCAGCCTTTTGCCTGCCCCCATATGTTTCCATTCTTCTGCTTTTAAACTAGGTGAACCGGCTAATGGCATGTCTTTCTAAAATGACTTTGCAGACTTTTCCTCCCCTAGCCAGCTTCTCTCCCCCAAGTGAGCAAGTTGAACCATAGCTGCAAAGTAATAAGGCCGCATTTGGCGCTGGTGTCTTTCCACTGTCAGGGGACATCTCTCTCCCCGCAGAGGCAGCTCTGCCTTTATATGCCTCTAAGGATTTTCCCCTGTGTACTGCTCTGTCTAAATTGATGTCTTTAGCTGAACCAACAGAACATTCTGTGTCCTTAACACGGACTGTCATTGCCTCCAAAGTATGGCAATTTTGTGCATTCCATCTCCGTTTTGAAAGTTTTTTAAATAAATAAAGCTTTTTATATACTGTTTTGTATTTTTAAATAAGTAGCTTTTTCTAGGTAAAAAAAAAACAAAAAAAGCACATAACTATCTTTCAGAGTAACTTTAAATGTTTTTGTTTCATATGAGGTGAAAGTAAGGAACTCAGTAAATTCCAGCCTAACGCATGTGAAGAAGGCCGCCTCCCTGTGTCAGCCCTTGGCTTTATTGTAAGCACACTTTAGAATTTCTATATTTATTCCTTCAATAAATAGCTGTGGACTGAGTGTTTCCATATGCTGGGTCCTGGCAAGACAATAGCCCAGCCCTCAGGAGAGATAACTTATCAAATGACTGCACAGACACTAAAAACAGTTATTGCAAATAATGTTTCTGGAAAGATTTTTCTTTTCTATAGGAACAAAGCTTTGTTCCTATTAGGTTTTAAGGCTTCCCTTCCATAGCTCGATGTCCGTGTAGGCCCTGCACATTGTATGTGCAGAGGTCACTTTTCTTTTACTGGTTATCAAAAGCCAACGCAGATGAACTATCAATTCCTTTGTCATTTCTAGATGTCCTTGTTTTCCTCATTCGACACTGAGCACTGTTGGCTCCCTCAGGAAGCATGGGTCTTTCAAATCTGTGTTCTCCCTCTCCTCTTACCTTTATAGAAAGAGCGGGATTTAGAGTTGGCTGCTCGGATCGGCCAGTCATTGTTGAAGAAGAACAAGACACTAACTGAGAGGAACGAGCTTCTGGAGGAGCAAGTGGAACACATCAGGGAGGAGGTAAGGAGCTGGTGGCCGACACTTCTGGGAGGCCCCGCCACAGGCCTGGCTGAAGGAGATGAACGCCCAGGGCCTGAGCCCAGAGCTGCCTGTTCTGAAGTGGCCCCCGGAGACCCAAAGCTGCCTTCCTATGGCTCCTTGTGTTCCCTGTGGATGGGATCTGACCGGTAGGCACAGTCCTCACTTAGTCTATAGGCCCACAGTGCCCTGCCACATGGGCAGGTGGAGTATGTGGGGCCAGCCTCAGTCCTTGTCCTCCAGGAGTCTAGACGCTAGGCCTGAAGGCTGATCGAGACACTCCACACTCGGCAAAAGTGCACACAGGCTCATGTGACAACCAGCAGGGGCTCCTGGGTTAGTTGTGGGCAGCTAGAGGAGGAGCGACGTTAGGAGGCCACCTGACACGCACAGGAAAGTGGCTATTCACATTCATCATCAGAATGTAATTTCGTGCATGTAAAACAGAGCCAAAAAACTAGCCTGAGGTTTTCATGACAGAAACCCTATTATTTTCATGATGCCACACTTGAAGAAGGACATGAAACTTTTAGGCTTTTATCTTAAGGAGGTCGAGGTGTAGGAGGAATGGCACTGGACTTCTGGAGGGAATGTGTGGTGGACGGGGGAGGGAGGCGGTGGAATCGGATGGGATTGCCAGATCCAGGGTTAGAATCTTAGAGCCGGGCCCTGTTCAGGAGCTTCTTTCCTGTCACCCTAACTCTTCTTTTTGCCAGTGAATTTTAACTGTGAGGACTCTTCTCATGTCTTCTTCCTTGTTTTCCATTAGGAACTTCCTTAGTGAGAGGGGATGCTTTTGTTCATGTCTCTAAGATGTACTCAAACCTTATCCTTATCAAAGTTTTTCTTGGTACATCATTTTCTGGGTTGAACGACAATATTAATCTGATGAAGTATGGTTGCCACTATATAAGAAAAATTTTAATCGTAGACCTTCTATAAATGATGACAAGGCAGATACTGTTGTGTTCTAGGAGAGAGTGATACCTGTGTTCTCTGACCTGAATCCTGTCTGCAGGTGACTGGGGAGAAAGTGTGCTAGGTCCACGTGGCCCCCTCTCAGAGGGACCTGGCACATGGGAACCAGCAAATGGTCACCCTTCGGCCCCTTCACATGACCATTCTTGCTTAGGACATGCTTCACCATGCACAAAAAGTATCCTGTTCTCTAGGAGTGTGCATACCTATTTTTCCTTGGAAAAGCTATCCATTTGAAAATTATAGTATGTTCCCTTTGGCATATCATTAAATTGTCAATCTTGGTATTAAGGCTGAATTTATATGCTCATAGAATGGGCTTCTCCAGGGAAGACATAATACATTCACTGAATCACTGTAGGAACATTGCAGTAAACCACAGACCCCCAAGTCAAATTAGAAACAAGAAGGAATTAAAACAGAATTGTGATTCTTATTTGCAGCACTGGTTCTGTGTTCATGACGACTGAATGGCAAAAGGCCAAATGAAAAATTCTACAGCCCAATTTAAGTTCTGTTTAAACCTTAAGTATAAATCAGTGTGAGCTGCCAAACCATCTTGGCAGGGGTCAATGTGGCCGGTCCCTGATGATTGCCTCTTTTCTCCTGAAATTCTTCTCTGGTGATCATTGGGTCCAGAACAAGGTCTGATCAAGCTTGGCCAGGAACCCTGTGAGGGTGTGCCACAGAAAGGGGCTTTGAGGTTGTCCAAGTGAGAGAGCCAGGGCCGATGACCTGCTTATGGTGTCCTACTCACAGCTGGCATTTCCAGGATCCTATCCAGAGGTGGGATTTGGTTCTGGCAGAAGTCAGAGGCCTCTTCTTTCTTACAGTAACATGATGCATTTCTCTGATTATTCTCCCAGCTGGGCCTCTGGCTCCTTCCAAAGCCCATGAGTGGTCTAGAGCTTTTTAGACTCCTCTCTGCTCTTCTCTGTACCATAGTAAAAACAATGAATTTAGACAGGGAGGTTGCTGCCAAAAAGTAATTGATTGTATTTTTCTCAAATGGGATCACACTCAACCCTTTGAAATCCTATTGCTTTGAATAACATGAAATCATTTAAATGCCGTCACTTTCAGTGGGAAATTTTTAAAATGTTTTCACTAAGCAGTAAGTATTTGAACATAAGCAGGGATATTGTCACTTTTGGGAAAGCCGGTGATGGGCCCCGGACTCTGTCTGTGCAGGTGTCTCAGCTCCGGCATGAGCTGTCCATGAAAGATGAGCTGCTTCAGTTCTACACCAGCGCTGCGGAGGAGAGCGAGCCTGAGTCCGTCTGCTCAACCCCGTAAGTCACCAGAGGCTGGGTTTCTAGGGGCCAGAGCACAGGCTGGCCACTGTCGATGTCCCTGGAGTCACCTAGGCAGGGTCACCTTCACCAGCAATGCAGGTCAGCTGCTCTCCCCTATCTCTAGACCACACAGAGCTGATCTGGGTTTAGATCTCAGCTCTGCCACTTACTGGCTACGTGCTGTTAGCCAAATAAAATAGAGATATCAGAAGTACTTAGGTGGTGGGGTTATAAGCATTAATTGAGTGAATACATGTGGAGTACTTAGAATAGTTCTTGGCACATAGGACTGCATTAAGAGTATTAAATAAATTCCAGACATTGTAGAATTGTATAGACTTTAAATAGAGATGATTCCCCCCAGTTCTGAGGTGATGTGACCACTGTGTGTTGTGGATAAAGGTTGGGCTGTGTGTCCGAAGTGGTGGTGAGCCTGGAGTTGGGAGAGCAGTCTGATGGGTGGGTTGTTGTCACACCTGCAAGTCTCATGAACTTTGTTTGAAGTAGCCCTTCTTTGTATCTCCATGCGGTTTCCAGTTGGGAGGAGGAAATGTCTCTCTCCCTAGATTGTGAGCATACTTTCTCCCCCAGGTTGAAGAGGAATGAGTCATCCTCCTCAGTCCAGAACTACTTCCATCTGGATTCTCTTCAGAAGAAGCTGAAAGACCTTGAAGAGGAGAACGTGGTACTTCGATCCGAGGTGAAGTCTCTCCCAGCCCCTGTTGGAAGGGTGATGGCCCCTCTTGCCTCATCTGGCCATAAGAGCAGTGGTCACTGGGCCATTCTCAAAGGTGATAGTGTGTGAAAGAACTGCACAGTGTGGCTGGGTACTGTGCATCAGCACTGCATGTACCTTCCAGGCTGGGGAAGTTGAGCCTGGTGAATTATGCAGTGCCTGGTGGACTGGGCAGAAGCTCCAGTGGTGAGCTTCCCATGGCACAGTCTCCAGCTCTGCCTATAGCACCTGTCAAACCAGCCTTGTTTCCATGTCACTGCATATCAGCTGTGCTCTGAGGAAATAGTACACAGGAACTTGGAGCCTGTATTTCTTAAACAATTAACTTGAATAGGTTGGATTGAGGCAAGGGGAGTCATGCTTCTGAGTATCTAATTGGCTAAGCATTGTGCCAGGCACTTGACCCACATTATTTTTTTTCTTAAGTCTTCACAACAAGGCTTTACAGCTGGTTACTCTGATTCTCATTTACAGTGAGGAAAATGGGCTTCCTGGCTGGTGGGTGTTTTGATATTCCCAAGGTCATGCAGCTTAATAAATGACAGAGCCAGGATTTGTAATTCTATGACTCCCAGTGCGGTGTTTCTCCCCAGCCCCCACTTCCCCTCTCTAGAAACACTGATGCAAGCAGACTTAGCACTGTTTTAATTACTGGTGTGTTAATGTTCTCCAACCAAAGGTGTGGTATTTGACAGAATGGCCCCGTGTCAGGTGTGAGCTGGCCCTGGGATCCCCAAAGTCCCCCAGCAGGACAGATCGCCACACTGAACTTGTCCACTTGTTGGCAAGATCTTCACATTTGGGCCGAGCAAGACTCTTCTGCATGTCCTACTCTCTTAGACCTCACCTCTTCCAGCCCCTTGTTTACTGATAGGAAGCACAAACCCACACTGACCAAGAAGGTCGCCCTGGTTTCCTCTGCCAGCCAGTAGTTGCCCCAGCTAACTTCTGCAGTCTCAGGTACCCAGCAACTCGGCCTCTGTCAAAATCTTCACCCAAAGCAGTTGAGGGGATCTGACCCCAGCTGCAGACTCCTGCCACCTCACCTCTGTTCTCAGAAGCATAGTGTGTCTCTGGGGCTGGGACCCAAGGGCTCAGAGACACCTTCTCTCTAACTACGGCATTTTCTTTGAGCCTTCAGATCTTTGCTTTCTCACCTTTTTAGTGAGGTATAAGCTGTCCACAGTTCTGAAACAGGGCCCTGAATTTTTTTATGCTTTTGTGCTGGACCTTGCTGTTACTAAGCTAAACACAATGGGTTTAATTCCAACTCAGAACCTCTTATAGATCAGTTCCTGGCAGATAGAAGTCACATGGTAAATGTTAGCCATTCTTGTGTGGTTATCCTTAGGTTTTCTGCTGTAGGCAGGGCAGTGACCTAGGTGCTGTGAGGTCCAAATGTACACAGAGTACATTCTGCTGTAGGCAGGGCAGTGACCTAGGTGCTGTGAGGTCCAAATGTACACAGAGTACATTCTGCTGTAGGCAGGGCAGTGACCTAGGTGCACAGAGTGTCCAAATGTACGGGCTAGGACAGACTGACTCCATGGCTGTGCTGTGTTCATGGGAGCTGGGTGTGCAACTCTCCTGCCCTCTGCTCTGTGTGACGCCCTCTAGTGGAAGGCATTTTCAGCTTTTCTGCTCTGAAAGTACCTTCCATTAACTAAGCAAGGAATTCAGATTTGCTTTCTGTATTTGGGGGTACAGTGGGTGACATGTGGGGAGATGTCGAGGGCTGCTTCCCAGATGTAGGTGAGTGCTGCTCTGTGCCTCAGCCCTCGCCTGCCCCACCAGTCACTGCCTCACCAGTTCAGGTGTGAGTGTGAGACTCTAACCCGGGGTCTTGTCCACAGGCCTCCCAGCTGAAGACAGAGACCATCACCTACGAGGAGAAGGAGCAGCAGCTGGTCAACGACTGCGTGAAGGAGCTGCGTATGTCCTCAGCCTGTCCTCCCCACTTCCCATTCCCTCTTTTTACTCTGTCACGCCTGGACGGGTTTGCCTCCCCCTCATAAAGTGCAGGCCCCCTGACAGCCTGGGGAGGTCAGCAGCATTTTTATTAAATCTAGAGGCCTCCCTGACCTCCTGTGGCACCTCCCTCCTTATTTGTGAATTGGGTGCTAGGTTATTAGCCACACATGATCTCCATTTCTAGCTGAGATGAACATTTAATTTTGCTTTTTGGCTTTCTACTATAATATTGCCCAGCTACAGAAACCTGTGTTGAAGATGTGGAAAAACTGCTTACTGCTAGTAATTTGACTTGCCCAAGTTGAGGCCAAGGTTCTCAGCTTTGCAAATAAATACTTCCCCCCACCCTCTCCATTATGAATTTACAAGTTAAGGCAAAAGGGCAACATACTAAGTAAATGAAACACACCCCATGTTCAGATCTAGTTAAATGAGTTGTGCCTGTGAATACAGATTGAAAACAAAAACCTCAGAGGAATGGAATTGCACTATGCCCATCCTAGAACAGGGTACAGCAGGGGTTCCCGTTAGTGAAACAGGTTTGCTCACGTGTAGAACGTGGAGATTTTACTAAACATGCCTGTGTTTGGTGTAGCACCCCCTGGCTGACTCCTGGCACCTGCCTCATTTGGTCAGTGGGATTGAGCTCCCACATCAAGTCCAGGAGCGACAGCCGGGGGGCCCAGGTTCCTTCTCATGAGCCCTGAAGAAGCCGCTTGGCTTCCCCATGCAGGAAAGTGGTTATTGTGAATTCCTTCTTCCAGCACTCTCCAGTCCTCCCCCCATCTTGTAATAAAGATGGTTTTTCCTGTGCAAACCACAAAGAAAACGACTCTCTCTGGGTCTGCATATGTGGTTTTCTGACTTAACTCCTATGATGATTGCCTTTTTATTTTTTTGTCAAAGGAGATGCCAATGTCCAGATTGCCAGTATCTCAGAGGAATTGGCCAAGAAAACTGAAGATGCTGCCCGACAGCAAGAGGAGATCACACACCTGCTGTCACAAATCGTTGATTTGCAGAAAAAGGCAAAAGCTGTAAGGCATTTCTCTGGCTGATCTGATAAAACAATGGTCATGCTGTGATCAGAAAGGAACATTTACTCCAGTAGACAGTACCCCTTAGTTTCATATCTTAAGATTTATGCTGCCCCTATGGAGAAAAATCTTAGTAGATTCAACAATATAAAACTGGTTGCCCTGAATTGGTGAGGGGTTTTACTTGTGACCACTTATCTCCTAAGAATAAGGTGCAATTATTAGAATTAATAGAATTCATTAAAAGGATGCTGTAAATATAGAGTTTTATAATTTAACTTGTATGTGTAGTCTAGTATTTGTAGTGTTTGCTTTTTATTTGTTTGTTTTGCTTTTTGAGGCTGAGTTTCACTGTGTCATGCTGGGTAGCATGTTGTGGCATCATAGTTCACAGCAACCTCAATCTCTTGGGCTCAAGCGATCTTCTTGCCTCAGCCTTCTGAGTAGCTGGGACTACAGGCACCTGCCACAAATGCCTGGCTGTTTTTTCTATTTTTAGTCGAGATAGCGTCTTGCTTTTGCTCAGGCTGGTCTCAAACTCCTAAGCTCAGGAAATCCACCTGAGAATCCACCCATTCTCCCTGGGTGCTAGAATTACAGGCATGAGCCACCATGCCCAGCCTAGTATTTGTTTTTGTACAATGTTCTGCAATAAAATGATATCCCTTTTAGGTAAGATGAAGCAACAGAATCAATTTAATTTCTCATATTACACCTTTGCTATTGGCATGAGGTGAAAAGCTTACAGAGAGCTTTGGAGGTCAGAGGGTAGATGGGCTATGGAGAATGGATATGGATGTAGGAAAGACTTTGCTTTCAAAATTACATAAAAGGCAAAATTCTACTTCAATGTAAGATAAACTTATCTTGTAGAAAGTGATGAGATCATGGTGGATCAAGGAAATGGAGGGGAAAAGTAGGATTTACTTAAAAGATCAGCTTAGAAAGCGATTTATCTTTACCACATTTTAGTGCACGGTGGAAAATGAAGAACTCGTCCAGCACCTGGGAGCTGCTAAGGATGCCCAGCGGCAGCTCACGGCTGAAGTGAGTGTCTCTCCCTCGTTTCTTCAGGGCCTCTGATGGCAATGAAGGTAGATCAACCTCCCTTGACAGCTTTGGTCATGCCCATCTTAACCATTTTCGTATTGAATTTAATTTCATCTTTACTGGTGAGATAATTCTCAGTTGTACCTTGATTCTGTGCCTGCTGATGCTGTTACTGGGTGTGAGCACCTAGGAGGCTGGACTTCACATCTACTGAGCCTGGCATGTGCAGGTATCCAGTAAATGTTCAAATACGTGAAACAACCAACACAGAGCACCATGTAAAAGGAGTCCCATTCACAGATACGGCTTCATACAAGAGTAGGGAGATTTGCCTTCTCTTTTGTTTAAGGTTGATTTTTATCTCAGTTGCCCATTGGTTAGTATTTTAAAAGATTTATGAGCCCATAAGCTTGCCCAAATCTAAGAAAAAGCGAGCCTTGAGGACTCTGGCAACAGGCCCATAGGTAGGTGGTTCCTGGGGTGCCAGGGACTGTGTGAGATTGCCTGTGGCCCTGGCCCTGAGGTAGGCGGGCATGTGTGCAGCTGGGTGCTCAGGAGATCCTGACCCTCCTCATCTTTCCTGGTCTTCTGCAGCTGCGTGAGCTGGAGGACAAATATGCAGAGTGCATGGAGATGCTTCATGAGGCGCAAGAGGAGCTGAAGAACCTCCGGAACAAAACCATGCCCAACACCACCTCCCGGCGCTACCATTCCCTGGGCCTGTTTCCCATGGTAAGCTGGTGATTTCTTCCTAACCAGAGGGCAGCAGGGGCTCCCGATGCTGGGAAGATGGCCTCTGGCAGGGAGTTGGGTCTTTACAGTTAGCCTCTCATTCTCCATAGCTCTCCATCCCTCTACATCTGTCACCTTTCTACTCTTGAAGATAAATTGAGTAGGAACCTCAGATATTTGGAAGATGTGATTTATACAGGATCAACATCCCCAGTCTGAAATCTGAAATGCTCCAGAATCTAAAACTTTTCAAATACTAACATTATGCTCAAAGGAAGCATTCATTTTGGACTTCAGACTTTTGGATAGGGATGCTCAAGTGGAATATATTCTGGAAATATTCCAGAAATATTCCAAAATCTGAAGAAAATCCATAATCCAAAACACTACTGGTCCCAGGCATTTCAGGTTAGAGACGCTCAACCTGTACCTAATTTTTTCTGACCTTGTTTTAGAGTGTGCTCTTTTAGCCTCACAAGTATATTCCAGAATTCCTAAAGTGCCCATACGGTTTTACTGATTCTTTGTGTGCTTAGTAATCATTCTTTTGGTGGCTTTCAGTATCTGTGATCTGAAAATAAAACTTCTCTCTGTGCTTGGGTTAGTAATTCTATATTTTCTATATTATTTCTCCACAATTTTTAGCTCTGGCCTGATTCATGTTTGGGTTTTGGGAGAACATTGTTGAGAAGGGGATTTTCCAGGAGGTTAATCTCCTTTTAGAAGTTGGGCAGCATAGGCTGAGTCAAATGTTACAGGGGTATGTGCTTACTCATCTTATTTTCTACGAGACTAACACCCCTGGAAGGTGGGACCAGCTCTTATTTGTAACATTTCCCCCCTTGGAATTCTCTGAAGTTACCACAGTGCTTGGCATGTTGTAGAATTGCAGACACTTAGTAGATACTACATTCAGATGGATGGTTAGATGGACAAACAGGTAGATGGCTTGAAGAGCCAACTCCCAAGAACTACTTTGTATTCAGGCTTGTTTCCGTGGTTTGATGAAATACCAGATTCTCTCTGAAGAGAGAAGAGCTTTTGAGAGACACTCCCCAAATGAGAGAGGAGTGGATGGCTTTATAAAGGTTTGTGAAATTTGGTCCCTTCTGAATTTAGCCCTTTCCTTGGTGTACTCTTTCTCTTCAGCCTCCCATTGCTACCCCCAGCAGGTACTTGCCCCCACCCGTACTCCTTGTCTGGCTAACTTTCCCTAAATCATGATCTCTTTGCTTTTGCACCTTAAAATCAGGCTAGAACTTTCTCTTTCTGTCTGAACTTGGTTGAAATTTAAGAAAAACCAAAAAGAAAGATACATAGAGCTTTTCAAAGGATGATCCAGTGATTCTAGGAATTCCAGTCCCCCTTGTGCCCCGATCTAGCACTACCTACACCCAGCTGACACTGGCCTGAGTAGCATCGCAGACCTCTTGCCTAGGGTCTTTCCTTCCTGGCTTCTCATCTTGGTTTAGGGAACACCTGGGGCCCTATCATTCCTGGGGTACCTAGGATTCACTGCACGGCTTTACCCACTCTCAGAGACAAACCTGTCTTTGAAAACTAAACCATTGCATGAGAAAAGCTGAATTGAAATTTTTCATTTCAGGGATTTTTCAGCTTTTATATTTGGTTAGGGAAAGCCTTTTATTTGCCTTTTCCTGTTGCTATTGGCATAGCCCAGCTTTGAAAGATGGCTGTTTTAAAAGTGCATTATACATTAAAGGTATTTAAAGCAGTCTAAAGACTGCACTATGCAAATGCCAGATCTGCCTCTTTTGCTCCCAGCTATCCTACTTGCTGAATAAAACAGTGAATTATAGTTTTTGCTCAACTGTGTTCCCAAGTATCTTGCCTTATGGCAGGAGTTCTTAATCGGGGATCCACAGACTGAGTTCAGGAGGCCTGTGAACTTTGAGGGAAAATCCTGTCTCTTATTTTCATTATTCTTTACCTGTATCCAGTACAAGCCACAGTGATGTTAGCACTACCTGTACTCTGTGGCTAGCATCCAGGGCAGCAGTATTTTCAGACCACAGATGCCTCGAAGTACTTCTGATGCTCACCTCCACTTTAAAATGACAGTAATTGCCAGTCCAGGTATATAGGTCACAAATGACATTATGTTGATATAATTGCCTTCTTTTATAATCCTAATAATTCATTTAAAAATATTATCCTGAGAAGGGGTCCACAGGCTTCCCCCAGGCTGCCAGAGGGGAGAGGGTCATGGCCCAGAAAAGTCACAGAACCTGTTAGGGACTTTATCCCAGTATTGCTTTCAAATTACCTTAGTTGCATGGGGAATTAGTTCCAGGACTCCCTGCAGATACCAAAATCCCCAGATACCCAAGTCCCTGATATAAAATAGCTTAGTATTTCCATATAATCTATGCATATCCTCCCATATACTTTAGATTCCTTACAATACCTAATATACAAAGTAAATACTATGTAAACAGTTGTTATACTGTATTGATTTTTTATTTGTATTATTATTTTGTTTTTTTCAAATTTTCCATCTGAGATTAGTTGAATCCAAAGATATGGAACCCATGGATAGGGAGAGCTGTAGAAATTTGGCTGTAGAAATTTGATATCTCATTTTTCTGGCTGTAGAAATTTCATATCTCATTTTTCTTAAGGTATATGAAGTTCCCTTCCTCGTTATTCTTCAGGATTCCAAATGTAAATTATGTGGTGAATAACAGTATTAAGAAAAAGAAGCTGACTTAAAAAGATCTTAGACTCACCTAGGGAAGCCCTTTACCAGACTTACGTTTAATGACATTCTGTGGGTAACAATTACTTTAAAAAATGCATATTTATGAATAAGAATTAACAACAAGCCCAATAGCCCTTAATTGATTGAGCTTCCCACTAGCTCCTGTGAACTCTCCTCACTCAGCTCTCTCTCGTCTCCAGACTTAGCATCCCTGTGGACTGTGGGGCCAGGAGGTAGATGCTCTGGAGACCCCATGTGCTGTCTGCTGGGAAGCCACTGGCCACCTGTGGCTATTAAATTTAAATCAGTTGAAGTGAAATACAGCTAAGAATTCAGTTCTTCAGCCACACCAGCCACATTTCAAGCACTCACTAGCCACCCATGATAGAGGCTCCTATAAGTACTTACGTCCAATTGACAGGACAAGTCGCAGGAAAGTTGTGTTGGTTGACATGGATTTAGCTCGTCCCTGTGGATTGTCCTAATGGGCGTCCTCCTGTGGTGCTCAGCAGGTACTTTCTGGACACACTTGGTCCTAGGGCACCTACCTATGTTGTGTGAGGGATTGTTTTTAGGTTCTGCCTCATACGGTGAGCAAGGGTGGGTGGTACAGAAGAGGAGGCGTCCATCAGGCAGCCTTTATTGTTGACTTGGTCCCTCTCCCCTCTCCTCTCCTTAAACCAGTTTGCCATTGGTAGTGGTATTATTGAGTCTCACTCAGGACCTGGCCCATTGGTAAAGTGAGAAGCCATCAGTGACTGGCCTTCCCCTGACCCACAAAGTGCACAGCCTAGCTGGAGAGAGAACTAATTGAGCTATTCAGAAAAATAGGAAAGACTTTCTGTGTTTTGTGTCTGGGAGGAAACACAAGATTCCTAGTGGGTTCCTGTGCAGGTTGTTAAAAGGTGAGGGGCCATGGATAGTTGGGGGAGGAACTTCCCTTGCGGGAGGACAGGCTAAACCAGAGCAGAGTCCTTGAGATGACAGTGCCCATGACTCAGGTGCTGCACATAGAGCTCTTCTCTTTAGCACAGGGTGCCTTTTACTGATGGGGCACACTTGCCTAGGAGCCAAAGTTGGAAGGCCATGTTCTAGCCTCTAATGCAAGGAACCAGGATGAGCCATGGGGGTTGGCAGACCCCATAAACAGCAGCTTAGCATGGCCTGCGTGTGCTGTGATGCCATACACATCTCTGTTCATAAGCTCAGAGGTATTTGGAAGTTCACCTGTCCCCATCATTCTGAACAACACCCTTGCCCTCATAAGCTCTCCATCCCTCCTTATAACCACAGTTGCAGTCCTGTGATTCGGCCAAGGAAACACAGGATTTGCTTTCAGACACTTAGCTGTGCGTGATTTAGGGGTATGATGGTGTGGCTACATTCAGAGTCTGCCTTGGCGACTGCACAGCCAGGATCTCTCACAATAGAGGAAGGTGTTAACCTTGTGTTGTGGGATGTCTTTGTGCTTCTGGTGGGTCCATTTAGTACCCGTGGCACACCTGGCCGCATACTTCTTTTAGAGACAGGGCATTTGAATTGCTGCTTATTTGACACATGTCTTCTGGCTTTTCCAGGACTCCTTGGCAGCAGAGATCGAGGGAACAATGCGCAAGGAACTGCAGCTGGAAGAGCCCGAGTCTCCAGACATCACGTACGTCTAGTTTGTGTGGTTCTGAGTTCCTCAGAGACCAACCAACTTGTTACCTTTGGTGTTCAAAAAACTAGCAATGTTTGGGCCGCAGACACCAACAGCAATGACTGTGGTCCTTCCACAGCTGACATCACCTAACCTCCTCCTATTAGGTTTTAAAGACAAATTATAAAGTTCCAGAAAGTTCCAGAAAAGGAGAGATGTATTTCCCATCTCTCTTAACACAAGCTCCATCTTGACATAGCTGCATATTTTTATCTGTTCTTCTAGTGGAAAACATTTTACTTTAAAAAAAATTTTTTGTTTGTTTGTTTCTGAGACAGAGTCTCACTTTGTCACCCCCGTTAGAGTGCCGTGGCTGTGGAATCATAGCTCACAGCAACCTCGAACTCTTGGGCTCAAGCAATTCTCTTGCCTCAGCTTCCTGAATAGCTGGGACTACAAATGCCCGCCACAACACCCGGCTACCTTTTTTAGAGACAGGGTCTTGCTCTTGCTCGGGTTGGTCTTGTAAAGAAAAATTTAACATCTTTTAGGAACAGAAAACTAGTGATTCAGTATGAGATACAGAGAATTCTTCTAGGGGTGGGAGCAAGGTTTCCATTTCCTTTATGAACATACCCAGGGAGGTCAGCTTCTACTGTCTCTCTTCCTAACTTCTGATCTTGTGCTTGGCCTGTCCCAAAGTATTTACAAGGAAC